TGGCAGCACACGATCGAGAGCGCTCGTCCCTTCCCTCTCCCCCTCTCTCTCTCTCTCTCTCTCTCTCTCTCTCTCTCTTCCTTAAGAGCTGTGCTTCCAAGTGGCAGCACACGATCGAGAGCGCTCGTCCCTACCTCTCTCTCTCTCTCCCTCTCTCTCTCTCTGTGACTGTGCGCTTGCGGGGAAGAGCTCATAGAGCTTTACCACGCTCTTTACGTGTTTTTGAGCGGTGCTCAAAATTTGAACACAGACCCCGCCCTCAATGACCGCTCGGCTACATGGCATGCACGCATGAGGGTAGGGGAAAGTATTGAATGGGTGGCAATCTGTTACCCATGCAAGGACCATGAAGCGGGACGGGAGTGGAGGGAAGGAGAGTGTGCGATATGGGTGATGGCCGGGATCGACATGGAAGCGATGGCCTTGCGAGACAATGAATGGAATAGGCATGATTGGATCTAATGATCGAATTCAAAAATATTGGTGTGAAGAGCACTGTGCCGGATGCAGCCTAGTTATGACTATGCAATATCCCGCTCAAATATGCCTTGTCGTCGGCCAAGTGGGTCACCCAGAGGCCACGAAACGGCCTTAAGGCCCTGCGTCCAACTGAGGGGAACAGAACCCCTGAAATGTGGCTTCAGAGGCCCTGCGCTCGACAATTGACCGAAGGCAACTGTAAGTCGGAATATCGAGGCTCACGAGTCAAAGTCTTCACGGACCCAGTCCTGGCCCCCAATCAGACACCCACACTTGGTTGTATTCAGGTATCCAGGCAGCATTCGGTCCAAGTAGAAGTCTGAAACTGTACGAGATCCAAGTCGTAAGTTGTGAGTCAATCTGGCCCTCCGTATGTGAGAGACCAGAGGCTGGCCTTCCGTACGTGAGAGACCAGAGACTATTTATTGACCCAGCCCCTGGGAGTCAACATTCAGTCTTGCCTTGCTGCTTGATGCTGGCTTGACGCTGGCAAGATGCTGGCACTGTGCGCCGACGACGCGAGACTGCTGCTTTGCATGCTGGCGCCTCTCTGCTTCTGGCGCCAGCTGTCTTCTTGGATGCTGACATGGCACTTGCCACGCTGTCTTTGGCATTGCTGACGTGGTGCATGCCACACTGCCTTCAACCCAGATTGGGGATGAAACGAGGGAGATCAGGATCTGTGGGATTGATTGAGAGAGAGAGAGGGAAACTTACCTGTTGACGCTGTCCACATTGCGCGCTGCAGAGACGTCTTCATGGGAGATCTGCACCTACGTGGCACTATGTTGTGATCAGATCTCGTCAGGCTCATTTCTGGGACACTGTTTGGTGACGTGGATGTGAGGAGACACCCGAAGAAAAAGAGGGAATTGAGGGATTTCTATCTACGTGGACATTGATGGATACTTTCTCTTCCACCCTCTAAGTCTATTCTCCCTACTTCCTACTTCGTCCTATGGTTACGAGATATTGTATTACAGATCACAATTCACGATTATTGGAGATATTTATCAGCGCTTAGTTATCTTGTACTTCGACACCTTACGAGTTTCCTCCTGACTGGGTTCATTACAACTAACCTGAAAGCGACTCCTGTTACTCAAAACTTCGACTATGTTAATGAGCCCCAAAAACTGCATCACACTTCCGCTGGCGCTTCTCATACATTTTAGGGTTTTCAGACCCATGAGAAAGCAGTTCACATGGCCTGTCTGGCACACCGATCCTTAGTCATTATTGAATTGAATTTACTGAAACATATTTACAAATCCTTGGGTAAGACGAATAGTTAAAAAGAAAAGGAAAAAAAAAAACCCATCAAGTAGTACCTGGAGTCCTGGATCGGTGAGCAGGCATGCTCACATGGCCTTCCTGACACCTTGATTGTAGCCATTATTGAATTGAAACAAATCCTTGGGTACGACAAACAGTAAAAAAGAAAAGGGAAAAAAAAAAACATCAAATAGTACCTGGACAATCAGTGAGCAAGGATGCTCACATGGCCTGCCTGACACCTTCATTGTAGCTATTTATTGAATTGAATTTTGCAACATATTGACAATTCATTGCCACTGAGCCAGAGATATCCACTGGCATGCTCGGTAGCTCCATTAATCCGCCTGAACAGAGAGTTTAGCAAGGTTGTCTTGTGTTGGCATGTCCGCTATACACAACTTCACAACTGTGTCACACTGTTCGCTCGGACTTTCACTGACTCATGAGGATGGGATGTGTGCTTTCTAAAATCCCAGATTCTCTCTCTCATTCCATCCACGAATCATCACAAACCCTCCATAAAACAAAAAAGGTATAGAGCAACAGTATAGTAGAAGATGCAAAGTTGGCCATGTTTGTGTGGTTATGCGCCAAGTGCCCACACACCCGTCTGCGCCAGAGCCGCACACTTGCACAAATACATTATAATTTATAATCTATAAAACTAAATAAAAGGATTAGAGGGGGCCATTAAGGCAAACCGAATGACAATCACACAAAAGACAAAAAAAAATAATGGCACCATAAGGTCCATAACACAAAAGGCTAGACTAAGAGGAAAGCATCGACCACAGCCCCCAATGGTCTAAAAAAAATTAGAGAGCCCTCTGAGTCGGCCTACAAAGCCACCACAAATTAAACAAACACCACAGGAACTGTTCGCAACATCAAGAGTGTCATGAACCTCCCCCTGCCGCACATCCTGCAGAATCAGATCATCTAGTAGTGCTACAGCAAGGCCGCTGCGCGCACCATGCCAAACTCCACAGGAGCACTACTGCTTAAATCACCCTAGAAGCTTCCACATTTCTTCCATGAGCTACAAAAGAGCAGCCCGCGGTGTGCTGTGTCAGTTGTGGATTTTCACCACCACTACCCTTGTTCCACCCAGATGAGTAGATCCAATATTGATGCAGCTCTAATTCTATTGCAGACACTGAAGCAAACATGAGACGAGTCATTCCAACAATGAAACAATTTTACCTCGATAGCGAGCAACATGGAGCACAATAGATCCGTTCTATCCCTTTCTTCACTATCTTTATTTTGGCTCTTTTTGGGGTACCCATTTTATTTGTTCTTGCAGCCCCCTTTTTACTGTGCCTCTCACGTACAAGGCTGGCCACATTGATTTTGTGGTTAAGTGCAAGCTGCCCACATCCCCGTGTGCCTTAACAGCCCACGATGCCCACATCTCCTGTTCATTTTTCTTCAGATCTTCAGCTTATATTCTGTCTGTTTTCTTAATGATGCTCATCCGTATGCATTTAGGGAGGAAGAAAAGGGTTTGCGGGTGGAATTCTGTTGGGAGCGAGGTGCGTGTGTGTGTGAGAGCACGCGTGCGCGCGCGCGCTCGCGAGA